TCTACTTGTATGTTTGACATTGAGTCAGATTTATGAGTCCTCAGATAGTTTTAATAATTAGAATTCGTGTCGACCGATTTGTATGCTTATGCGAGAGCCATTATCGAGTTTGGTGCTGTTAATGAATGTGCTAGGGAGAGATGAACTGGGTACAAACTTAATATTTAGGCTTTACTTGTTATGAACCCATCGGTGGAATTTGCCTATGAAAACAAGCTTACAAGGAATGGATGTTCAAGAGTTCATATACACCCTTCTAGTCTTATATTTAACCAGCTTGCATGGAATGGACATTCAAGAGTCCATATACACTCAGCTAGTCTTATATTTAGCCGATGGGATCATGATATTTTACCACGCATTTGTTACCGACATTCATGGCTGATAGCTCTTACCATTTACCGGCTCTGCTCACCTATTAGTATTTAATGAGATAGCACTATATTGTATTATGGACATAATACGAAGTCATTTTAAACAAGTCTATAGGTCGATCCTTCCGTGATTTGACCACTGAGAGCAGCAACCCATACTTCGATCCTATACTCGCATTGGTGGCTGGTTTTTATACCAATGTTATGAACTCATGGTTATAACTTGTTCCTAAAAACAAACTTGCAAGGAAAAGATGTCTACGTGTTCATATACACACCTCTAGTCTTATATTTAATCAATATAAGTAAGATCGTAACATTAGTTTTATTTGCGCATGCTGTGTGTTCAGATTCAAGTCTACAACATCACACTATTATGAGATTTAACTAGATATAAGAGAAGTGGTAAATATATTTTGCAAGTTAATAGTTGTAGTCATGTTAGTTATATCCTGATTTTTAAATCAAGTTTTGGATAGTGGATGATTTTGAGGAAACAATGTTTGGCTGATCTTGTGCACAATGATATTGCCCAGCTCTATGCAGCAGGCGGTTTTTTTAGCTGGATTTGATGGTTGCCTTACTCATCTGAATGTCTACATGTATTTTCTTTATTTCCTCCTTCAATGTGTTTCTCTTCGATTTCAATTTGTTGTTGGATCCACATTACTTCTGTTATATTTTTTTTTGAGTGACACTCTTTATTTATAAGTAAATCCTTTCACCAATAGGTGTATGACCCACAAACCTTGTATGATATGAGAAGGCCTACCCCTTAATGTAAGCCACCATAACTTTCGTATCGTTATATCCGCCATATTTTACAAGTCTACTTTGAAGTTGAAGGAGTCTTCTTTTATCTGCAATTAAATCCTAGTTTGAAAGAGTCTTCTTTTATGTGCAGAGTAGAGTTTGTAGTAACTGTGTATGCAAAAGGTTCAGTATTGTTGCGTGGCCTAGAGTAATTTAGGGTATCAGTCAACTCATGTCGTGTTCACATAGACCGCGAATCAGAAACTGTAGGATTATCCGCCCTTTATCTCTATCAAATTTAATGGTTAACGGGTCATTCGTGTCTAATACTAATCTGACATTTCATTTTACATCATTTAGCCATGCATATGTGATTTTTTTTTGTAATCTTTTGGATTAAAAAAACCCAGCTGTGGTCAATGGACTGATTCAAAGAAACTGCTATCTTTCTTCTGCTTGTATTTGACCAAAATATTCTACTTTCCCCTTGGCGCATATCTCATCCATTAAGATCATTTCATCGGGAGAAATACTATTTAGACTTAATTTATTGATCTTTTTTGCTGACTTAATCAATTTTTACCATTAGATGGATAGCGAAACCCGCTTTTAGTTGGGACTCAATTACAATTGATGGTTATGATACATTAGATCAACAAATAAAGTCAAAATATTAATTTTTTTTATTAATTACTTGTTTTAAGAGTATTAAATAAATGGTTGACTGCTAAGTGCTAACACCATTCTGCGTAACAAGATTGCTAGTACCAAATCATTCATCTTGAATAAAGTATTGCAGATGGCAAGTTCCGATAATTTCACTTCATTTCTACATTTTTTTCCCGTGGTTTAGAAACAATGCAAGCAAGAAATGACAAGACTTCTAAAGACGATTAAAATCAAAGGAACTACTAAGCCTAACCATGCTTATATGATTAGGGGTATTTGGGTTATTTACCGGCATCTTGATTAATTCGTTCTTTGGTCCGGTCAAAGACAGCTTATCTACACCAGAATTAGGATATTTATGAAGGATATATCATTCATGGTTTTGATCCAAGTGGTTGGCAAAAGTCGATTTTAGAACGTTTAGGTTTTGTAATCGATCACAACATTTCACGATTAATAGTCATTTTTTGAGTTAGAATTTGGATCGTTTTGAATTACATCTTGGATTCTTGGGAGTTTTACTTAGACTCTTATAAAATTAAAAATTGAACTTTAAAAATCAGAATTTTAATTCGATACCTTATTGGATACTTTTGTCGTTCTGGTCTTCTTAATTAAATGGACTGATACAATGAAACTGCTCTAATACATCCCAGGTCTGATGAAGTCCGTGTACGGAAGGTCTAAGAAGAAAGTCGTTGGTTGTTTAACGTGTTAAGGAAATGGTTTGAAATTCCGGGGCGGAGGCAGGAAAAAATTTTAGGGTGGGCACATTAGAGGGGGACATCTGCCCAGCCTAGCCCAAGGGTGGCGCCCCTGTTTTGAAAAGCCTACCCACAAACCTTCCACCATATTTCTTTGAATATAGGGTTAATTACTTTTTACCTATTTTGTAATTACCGTGGTCAATTAAATTAAAAAATTGTTATGATACCAGATTTTGTTTCAGGGTCGAAAATCAATTATGTTTTTTGATTTGGAACGATGTCTTACCTATTTGGGTATCATACCATACGCTTGAACAATGACCTTTTGGAGGAACACAGTGGAAACAACGTCCATAATATGTTTTGAGCATGTGAAGCATACTCTTCGTTAACTTAGATTATAAAAGTAACTATTCACGTTAGTACATAACTGAAAGAGGTAATATTCATAATTTTAAAGGTCAAGTCGATAAGGTACTTTAGCCGAAATCAAATGAAGGTAAAAAATAATTAATCCTAAAATATATAAGACAACCACGTCGAAACCTCTAATTAGTAAATTCAGCTGGCGTAATCTGATCTTATAAAAGACAACTAGCAGATGGTTTTAGAATTTGTGGAAGTACTAAGCCAGATATAAAAAGATAGAATTTGTGGAAGTACTAAGCTCGTACTCAGTTTTGTTTTGTGGCCTTAGCGGTTATGGCTTTGTGTTGTTTCACCAACGGTGGTGGCCACAGAAAGAAGCGTCTGACCGCTACTGCTCCTCCGCCTCCACCTGCACCAGCACCAGTTTATTATGCTGGAGGAAACGGTCAAAAAACCAAAAGCAGTGGCATGAAAGATGGTGAAATGGTTTTTTTGGGATCTACTGTAGTTGCAACAGAAACTGTAGTAAATGTTGGTGATGGTGGAGGAGGTGGTCATCACAGTGGTGGTGGTGGAGGTGGAGGTGGGGGTGGGAATGGGGGTTGCGGAGGAGGAGGCGGCGGTTGTGGGGATGGTGGTTGTGGTGGAGGTGGTTGCTGAGGTTGAGATGAAGACTTGGATTGGGTGGCGTATTCCTCTGGGTGTTGTTTCTTTTGCTTCTGTATATTTCATATGCTTTCACAGATATAATTGAGTTGCTTGTGTGGGTTGGATAAACACTTTAGATGCTAGCCTTATCATTGTACAGACCATGTAATTTTTCATTTGTTTGTATGCGTTATGAATGAAAGTTCCATAGTTGAATTATTATGGCTCTATTTCTATCATTGTATGGTTGGCAATAGATCATCAAAAACTGGGATGTTAATGGACATGAATTTGTCAAACTTGAATGGACTTAGATTGAGATTGATAAGATTGGGATTGATTACCCAAAACCCACCCTATTTTTCCACAAAAAAAATTCATAAAAATTTAACTTTCAATCGTAATAATCAATTGTAGAATTTTTCTTTTTAGTTTTTTTTCTTGCCATATATTTTTATTTATTGAAATCATTAGATCAATACCAAGTTTCAATATTTGATGAGACTTGCAATTAATCCAAATATCATAATGAATTAATTCAATAAATTAAATCAGAATTTTAACTTCTAGTAGCACAGCTCTATAAAAAGTATGACTTGATCTTTGAATGTTTTGTAATTGATCATAACATTTCATAATTAATAATTATTTTTTGAGTTAGAATTTAGATCCTTTTGAGTTACGACTTGAATTTTTGGGAGTTTTAATTAGATCCTTATAAATTAAAATTTGAACTTTAAAAGTCATAATTTTAATTTATTACCCTTTTGAATACTTTATGTTGGGTTTCCCTTCTTTGTGGGACTCATCAATTTGCTAATTTTTTGGTGGCTTACCCGTGTAGGACTCTTATCCAAGACTTGGTTTGGAGTCTTCTAGTTAAAAAGGAATTTGGCAACCACAAAAGACTATAAGTTTTGTCCTTTTCTTTAGTTCTTCTCTTCTCTGTTGGTTTGGCAAGAAGACATATTTTCGGCAGTCTTTGGTTCAACAAAAATTCAGCCTTCTTCTTCTTCTTTTTTGGTGCCAGACAAATCTGCAAATTTGTTCTTCAAGTGGGTAATATTTCTTCACTTGATATTTGGGTTTCTTGCGGTTTGTTCTTGGAGATTTGGTTCACTTATTTTGTGAGGTATTTTCCTTTTGTGATTTACACCTTGGTGTGTTTGTAAGGCTTATGCCTTTTGACCACTTTGTAATCTGATTTGGTGATAGTGGAAGAAACTGACCTACCGGTCGTCGTGGATGTACCTCAAGTTATTTGAGGGAACCACGTAAATCTTGTGTGCTTATTTATTTTCTGTTATTTTATTTATATTGCTTCCATTGATTTACACTTGTGGGAAAGCCTATTTTCCCAACACTTTAGTCGCTCTGGTCTTCTTAGACTGATTCAATGAAAATGCTATATTCCTTCTACATTTCCACCTGATCTACATCCGAGCTTTGACGAAATCTGTGTACGAAAGGTCTAAGAACCATGTCGTTGGTTGACTTACGCGTTAAGAAAATAGAAAATTTTCGTAGGTTTGAAAAGTCTACCCCCACAAACCTTCCACCATGTTTCTTAGAATATAAGGACAACCACCACTTCAACGGTAAACTTCCGCATAAAGCCTCTTATTAGAAAATTCAGCTCACGTAATCTGATCTTATTATAAAAGACAGCTACAAGATGGTTTCAGAATACTAAGCCAGATATACAAAAGTATATGCTATTGCGCTCATACTCATAGCCTTGTTTGTTTTGTGGAATTACCTATTATGGTTTTGTGTTGTTTCAGAAACGGTGGTGGCCGCAGAAAGAAACGTCCGACCGCTACTGCCCCTCAGCCTCCACCTGCACCAGTTTATCTTGGTGGAGGAAAAGGTCGAAAAACCAAAAGCAGTGGCATTAAAGATGGTGGAATTGCAATTATGGAATCTACTGCAGCTGTAACAGAAGCTTTAGTAAGTGTTAGTGTTAGTGATGGTGGAGGAGGTGGGGGTGGGGCTTGCGGAGGAGGAGGCGGCGGTTGCGGGGGTGGGGGTGGGGGTTGCTGAGGTTGAGATGAAGACTTGGATTGGGTGGCGTATTCCTCTGGGTGTTGTTTCTTTTGCTTCTGTATATTTTATATGCTTTCACAGATATAATTGAGTTGCTCGTGTGGGTTGGATAAATACTTTAGATGCTAGCCTTAACGTTGTACAGCCCATGTAATTTTTCATTTGTTTGTATGCGTTATGAATAAAATTTCAATTGTCTGAATTCTCATGGCTCTATTTCTATCTTATGACTTAGATTGATAAGATTGAGATTGATTACCCAAAACCCACTCTATTTTTCCACCAAAAAAAATTCAAAAATTAAACTTTAAATCGTAATAATCAATCCTAGAGTTATTATTTTTTATTCAAAAAAAAACCATCCAAAATTCGTATACTTAACCCAAATACAAACTTTGAAGTTTGTGAAAAAAAAAAGGTTAAGTTTGGAATAAGTTTGGGGTTATTTGTCTTTCAAATAGAATTAATGTTTCGGATGAAACTAAAATTATTTATACACGGAAGCCTATTCAAAGAAAGATGAGTATCAGCTTTCCATACAAATAATTGGATTTGTTTCTTTTACAAAAAGAGTGTAGAAATTCCATCAAATTCTGTTTATTTTGTAAATTAAAAGAGTCAAATTTAAGGTGTTCGGATTTCCATTTAATAGCCCTATCCAGAATATCAGTTACTTGAATTTAATTTATTAATTTAATTTGTTGATCAAGTAAATTTTTGTCATTGGATTAATAATAGACTCTGGTATTACTTGAGACTTGTTATTAAATCAATGATTTAAATAGATTCATCAAACGAACACTAAGATCCCTTTCAGAATTATTCACATTGTACTGTGTCTTCAAGTACGGGTTATCCCTAGACTAGCTCAGGATGTGTTTGATTTAGGCATTAGACAGTATTGGATTGAACAAATCCGTCTATCTCATATTCATCCACCCGGACCTTGAACTAATTATAGTAATAATATCTCTTCATCTTATGTTTGGTTTAAATATTAAAAAATAATAGGTCACATATTTATCTCATCCAATATTTTATTTGGAAAGAATATTGAATGATGATGTCAATATTAAATTACTAAAAAAACTTCAAAATAATTATATTCTAAAAATTCTTGAGAATAAAATGTATTCTATCAAAATACACCGCAACCGCACTATTTAAACGCACTGCCTGGTGTCGGTGATGACGGATTCAAAGTTTGGGTGGAGGAGAACACTGAGTACTTTGTGGGCCAATGCGAGATCGAATAGGAGAGGGATGATTGTGGGAGGAAGTATGGTGGTAGCCTCCAGTTTTGTTCCCGAGATAAATTTTTTAAAAACTCGAATTTTATATTTTATCATGTTTTTAGATACGAGTTATGACTAATACATAGATATAATACATTTCAAGTCAAAAACATTTACCTATAGAAGATTTTCGGCAAGACATTTTCTCACAATTAAATAGTTTAAAAAATACTTTCTTATAAATTTTCGTTTATTTAAGAAGTTATATATAGATACAAAAAAATTATTCATCTGGACCGAGAGTATTTTTAAGTGATAATACCAAGCCCAAAATATGTATCTAAATAAAAAAGTACGTGAGACAAAATTTCCTCATAATGCCTAAACTAAATAGACGCTGTTGTATGAGAAAATATTCATTACAAAGTGATACCACGTGACAATGTGGCGTAATATAACTAACAAATAATACTAAAATAAATAAATAAATGAACTCCTCAAAAATTAATAATCAACTTGTCTTCCATGTAAGCTGCTATCATACAAGTGGAGTCCACTTTATCCACTTAAAGTTTTATTATTAATAGATGATACATATGTTATCAATAATGACATTATATCACTGTTATATTGAATATTTACTCTGTTCTCAATTCAAGAACAAAACTTAATTGAACTAAATTTCAATCAAGCCCCAGAAAATGAAGGCATCAAGCATAAAACTACATTTTCACCTAATTTAAATTAAAACCTTGTGATTTTTTCACTCAATCTGAATTAAATATCACTTGTACTAATTATGTTAATATTATTTTGAATTTTTTTTTAGTTCAACAGTCAAGATTATTCAAATCAATTTATGCGCATATTGACTAATCTCCTCCTCGATTTAGTCAAAAGTAGGTCATCCATGTCGGGATAAGTCCCTCATGACCTAGTGTTAAGGGATTGTCAAGATTCAAACTCATGACATCTTGATTTGCAATTCGTTTTTATTATCACTTGAATTACTCCTTGTGATTATATTATTTTATGCCAAAAATAATGAAGTTAATAAAATTATATGAAAAGAATTTAGTCACACCCCCTCTAATTTATCATATATTCAAAAACACCCTCTCTACTAAATAAAATACCACCGACACTTCTACTAGTTTATATTTAAACATCATTAACACCCCCTGTCATTAAACCACTATTTCTAATAAATAAAAATTATTTAAAAGACCAAAATTGCCCCTACATAAATCCCAAATAAATTTTTACATAAAATTTGATTAAAATTAGAGGTGATTAAACTATATATATATATATATATATATATATATATATATATATATATATATATATATATATATAAATTGGAGTTGATTAATTTTTTACATACTAAAATTTGAGCCTATTAAATTTTTTTACGTATTAAAATTCGAGTCAATTTGAGCTCAACTTGAGTTGTTAGCATCGATTAAAATTTTATTTGAGTCAATTAAAATTTATATTTTTTTTATTAATTAAAATTCAATTCAAATTGATTAAAATTCATTATATACGTATTAAAATTTGAGTCGATTAAAATTTATGTTTTTTTACATATCAAAATTCGAGCTGATTAAAATTTAATGTGAGTTGATTAAAATTTGATTCGAGCTGATTAAAAATGAATTTTATTGGGCTCGAATCTAATGTTAGTCCCCAAATTTTAATATGTAAAAAAATTATAAAATAGAGGAATCTCATTGAAGATATGTTTATCTACATGTGATGTAAGGGAAGTTTTTCCTAAAATATATCATAGATAATTTAGTAAAATTGTATTGTAATTTAGGTTGTCTTTAATTTGACAGAGGTATTAGTGAAGATTCAGAAATTAGATGGGATTTCCTTAAAGATATAGTAAACTAAAAGGGTTGTGATTGAAATTTATCATAACTATATAAATTCGTAAAATGCATTTTGTTTTCTTAATTAAGCTCAAACTTAATTACTTATTGCATCTCGAACCATGACTCAAATTTAAATTTGAGTAAAAAAATCTACAAAACTTATTCCAATCTCTGACTCAAACCTATACCAAATCAAAAAAAAATCATTTTTTTTACTGAAATTAAGAGAGATTCAAATTCTTACTCAAATATTTAATTGTGAGATTTCTACATCTTTTAAAGATCCAATTGTCATTTGTATTTCCTTTTTAATTTGGACTTGTCTTTATTTAAATTTGAGTCTCTCTTCCTTTAAATTTGAATTTGTTCAATAAAATCTTTTGTATGAAATCAAGCTTATTACTGAAATTTGAGTAAAATTTTGAGTTATATTTAACAAACTAAATCGCATCTAAATAATTCCAATGATTTCTTCAAAAAAAAAAAAAAAACTAATTTGAATGATTATACCAATTTTACTTGCTAAAATTACGTTTTGCCACCACCACAACCATTCCCCTCCCGGGTCCGCAGCTCACAACCACCATTACCTCACCGCTACTCCCACCACCAGTTCCGCCATCCTAGCTCTTCACACTACCATCACCGCCACTTCCACCAGCACAAGCTATCACTGCCAAACCCAAAACCGAACTCACCTCCTCTAAGGAACAGCTAGCACATCGCAAAACCGACAACCCACCTCAGCCACTCACCACTTTTAGCCATCGACATCGCACCAGAGGGGAGAGAGTTCAATTTTTCAAACCTAAGATCAATGCCAGAAGTGTTCGATTTTTTCATTGTCTGATTTTTTTATTTTAGATTTGTTTGTTGGCATAGGCGCAGCCACATGGGATCAGGGTGGGCACTTTCCCCCTCTCACTTTTGGACCACATTCGTTAATTTTTAAGAACAATTTTTAGTTCTCATTTATCATTTTTTAAGTAATAATAGTCTATCTATATAATAAAGTAGAACGATTTTGAATTCAAGAGACAAAGAACGGCTTAGATCGTTTCGAGATTAAAAAAGACATCATCTAACGGCCGACGCTTTTTCAAACTGTCTCAAACTATTGACGTCTCAGATCGTTTCGATCCGACATACCATATTAGCTCCTGAAAAATTTTTGTTGCTCAAAACTTTTAGTTTCCAAAACTAGCATTCCTAAATTTAATTTTTCCAACTGGTCAACACAATCAAACCCAACAATTACTGCTAGAATATTTGCCCGCAATTACTTTGCCAGAATATTAATTTCCATAATTAATATCTCAAAATTTTACTCCGGCAATACTCTTCCCCCCTCTCTCTACTCCCAATTAGTCTCACTCACGGCTTAATTTGCTCATGCTCCCTATTTCTCTCTTCCCTTGCTTTTCTGTCTCTCTCCTTTATTAGTCTCTCTCTCCCCCCTCCCTCTCTGAACACATCCGACTAACTCACCACCATCGACGACCCACCACTGAGAGATACATCACCGAAAATACAGTTCAGGTCCTCTCTCTCTCATCAACTTTCTGCACAAACACAGCATAACGCATGCACACTGCGCATGCAAATCACACGCACAGCTAATTGTGTTTGACTAATTGGGTTTGGTTTGAACCACAACTACCATAACGTATATCAAGTGTTGAACAAAATTCTCAAAAGAGTTACGCACATAAAGAGTTCGAAATGATGGGTTTGATAGGATTTTTTTGGATGAGTATCGTTCATGTCGTGAATGTTTTACAATACTACGTGTGATACTTGGTTGAACTTGATTTTTGCATTTCATTTTTTAAAATCTGCACATTGTTTGAAGTGATGGTATACTGTTTTTGAGTGATGA